GCGCCGCCGCGGGACCCGAGCTCCCCGGCAGGCGGCGGACGCCCGGATGCCTCGGGAGGGCAGAGGGAAGGGGCGCGAGAGGCGCGGGGCTGCAGGGGCGACCGCAGGGGGAGCGCTACCTGTGCCCGGGTCCAGTCCCCACACCAGCAGCAGCAGCAAGGGCAGGACGAGCGGGGGCAGCAGGGCGCCGTCACACATGGTACGCGGAGGAGCAGCCCCCGGCCGGGCCCGGCGGAGCAGGAGCGCGCGAGGCGGCGGCGCCAGCCGGAGTGCAGCCCTCCAGCCTTTGGAAAAAGTAATTAGCGCTGCGGACAAACCCAACGTGGTAAACCCCAAGCCCCGCCTCCCCCGCAGAAGCCGGGAGGCGATTGGGCTTCCGCTTGCCCCTGCCCCGCCTCCCCCTTCCCAATTGGTTGGGACCGGTCAAACCCAGGCTACGTCGTTAGGTTGTAAGCACTTTCTTACACGTGGTTTCTGGGCAGTGGCGAGGAGGAGACAGCAGGTGGCGCGCGGGAGCCGACCGGAACGGAGCGACCCTGCAGCGCCCAGGAGCACTGGGGGGCTGGTCAGACTCTGGACAGCCTTTCTGATCCTGCTGCCCAGCTTCCCGGGAGCACAGGCTGGAGCTGGTCGCGGTCACCGGTTTCATCCGTAAGACTTGGTGTCTCTGCATCTGAAGTAAAACCAGCTAGGGTTGAGTGTGACCGGAAGGATGCCCAGGCCACTTTCTTGCACACCTGAGTTTGCACCTGAAGGTTTATCTATGGTGTCTTATCTAACCCTTCACACCTGTTCTCCTCACAGAAGGCAGTTAAAGATGTGATCACACGCGCTCACAGATTGAGCAAGGGAAGGAGCTTGTTTAAATGACAGCAAGAGCTACAGCTCGTGGCCCTGACTCCCAGCCAGCTGCTGCTCACTAATAAGACCCTTCCCCATGGCAGGATGACTGCTGGCCAGGCTTTACCTTGGAGAATCAGGCACAGGTGACAATCTGCACGCCAAGCCACGCCTTCCAGCAACAGAGTAACTGATTCTTTTCCCACCTGCAAGAGAGGTGATTCCTTTTGCTTCCTGAGGATCATCTTGTTGAAAACAAAACCAAACAATGAACCCAAGCATAACCATGGCCAGGCCTCTCCAGGGTCTTCCCTGTCACGTCTGCTTCCTGTTTCTCAAAGCAGAGAGGTCTGTGCACGCCTACTGGACTCTGCTTGGGGCCCCAGCATCTAATATGTGTCACAGAATCACATGTCATCAGGAGGGATCGAGTTGAGGTGAACATCACCCACCTTCCTTGAGAATTGATATGGCGTCGCTGGTTGTCTGTGAAGCCCACCAAGCTCCCTAGGGCAACCTTGCTGCTCTAGGAGTCCCCAGGGTGTGACTGGTAGAATCCTTTTCTGCTCTATTGGGTCCCTGCCCTCTCCCTGGAGCTGACAACAAGAGGCTGCAGGTTTAGCCACTACTCCAGGGACTGCAGTCACCCATAGATCCTTGCTGGAAGTCTTCACACCAGTCCTGTTCGTGGTCAGGCTCGGTGCTCCTTTCCTACCCCAACTGTGTCCCAATCAGCAGCCTCTGGTGACACAAGAAATCATAGAGAGCTTGATGCTGCTTTGTTGACCAAATAAAGGTGCCTCAAAGAGGGAAGTCAGCCTGAAGTTGTCATTGTCCCATCTCTCAGATGATGCTCAAATGCATGAGTCTCAAATGCATTTAGCTGCATACCAGCTAAAATAAGAGTGTTCCCCAGAATGACCCAAATGAACAAGCTTGGAAGCAGCAAGTGTTGGAAAGGAGAGCCTGCTGCCCATGAGTGGAAATGCAAGCTGGCATGCCCACTTTAAAGAACTGGGCAAACCTAGTAAAGCCCAAAATGCACTTAAATACAACACTAAATATCCACTCTGGATAACTGTCCCAGAGAAACTCTGGTGCATGGGCCAGTATATTCACTGCAGTAATGAAGAGAAAAAATACAAAATACAAAAATCCAAAGTCCATCTTTACATAGAGGGCTGATAGCACAGTGAGCATCAATTTAAAGCAATACAGTGATCTTTTATCTTAATTAATCTGGAGAGAAATCCAAGGCCTGTTGTCAAATTCTTTTAAAAGTCAAGTTGAAGAATAATGTATATAAAATGATAACCCTCATGTAGACACATGTGAAATCATTAGTATGATAAAATCTAGAAGGATACACACCAAACCTTTGTAAGGTTTAGTGTTCTTTTATATCAAGTTGCACAAAAGGATGCTACATCAGGTTCCAGCTGGGATAACTGATACCATTTTAAGTATTCCAAGTAGAGGGGATTTAACAAAGAGAATTGATTACAAACGTTGGGAGGGGCTGAAAAGTAGGTTTAGGGATTTCATGCTGACCCTGCCTCTGGGTTGCATTCTAGCTCTGTGCCTGGTTCCACTGTTGAAGACATTGTCACAGCTGGTGCAGCCAAGCCAGAGATGCCACCATGACCAGGGCATCCTGCCATTGCCATGCCAGCAACTTCCAACAACTGCTGCACTTAGACTATGGTTGCCATCTAATATCAAGCCAGTACTTTCTTTGGTGTAGAACCTAAGGAGAAATGTAAGGGAATCAATGGCTGTGGTTTCAGGCTTTTAGCCTCAATAATAAAAACAGAACATAAAAGTAGGCTGAGAGACAGACCCTCTAATGGTTTTAACTTGGCCCAGGGGAGACCATATTCCCTTTGTCCCTCATCACTTTGTTCATCCTTCACCATAAAATGGTTAAGCCTCTCCCCCACCCAAAATCTATTAATTTTATATAGTCCATACCAAAATTCCAATTTTTCACAGAAATAGAAAAAAAAAACCCTAACATTTGCATGAAACCACAAAAACTCTGAATAGCTAAAGCAATCTTAAGAGAGGAGAACAAAGTTGGAGGCACCACACTTTCTGATTTCAAGCTATTTTATAAAGCTACCCTGATCAAAACAGTATGGCAGAGGCTTAAAAAATTGGTAGATCATTTGAACAGTATTTAAAGCCCAGAAATAAACTCATGCATATAAAACCAGGTAACATTTGACAACAGAGCCAAGAACATTCAACAGGGAGAGGATCATCTTTTCAACAGAGGGTGTTGTAAAAACTGGATATGCAAAAAGAATGAAATTGGACCCCTACCTTACAGCACCCTCAAAATACATCAAAGACTTTGTAAAATTATGTCCAAAGAACTTATAAAAGAAAACAGGGGGAAATCCCCTTCACACTGATCTTTTAGAAGACCCCACACACACACACACCAAAAAAAAAAATCAAGAAGTGGAGCACCAGCAATTCTAAACATTGCTGCATAGCAAACGAAATTATCAACAAAACAAGTCATCCCATGGAATGTATCTGATAAGGGGTTAACATCCAAAAGATATGGGGAACTTATATAATCTATACAAAATGGAAAAAACTGATCATTTGATTTTAAAATAGCAGAGGCTCGAACAGACATTTTTACAAAGAAGACATAAATAGCCATGTCAAGTGGCCATTTTGGGCACATGAATAATAATCCACATCACTAGAAACTGGGGGACAAAGCTTCAGTATGAAAAGATGAAGATGTTCTGCAGATGGGCAGTGGCAATGACTCACATGGTGGGAATTACTTAATGCCCCTGAGAAGGAGGCTTAGAAATGGTTGAAACTGTAAATGTAATATGTCTATTTTCCCACAAAAAAGTACTTTAAAAAAGGAATCATTGCCATTTACTCTGGTCTCATTTCATCTTAACACGTAAATTGCCTTATCTTAACTTTTCGGAAGGGCAGGAGGTCTTAATCTCATTTCATGGATAACGGTTTAGGGGAAAATTAGATATAAGAGAAGGAGGCAGATGGGCACTGTAGTCGTAATCTGATATAAGCTCACCCCTGAGCAGTGCTCCCACAGCTGACAAATCTCCTCATCTTTCAGCTTGTTCATCAGCCCTTGTCTGGTGGTCCTGAGATTTTCAGACCACATTGTCTGGAACTGACTCCCGGCAGCTGGTTTTATGGCTCGTCTCGATTTGCTGCTTCCCGTTGGGTGTCTGATAGTCCTCCTTGGGTGTCTGCATGATCACTGTCATCAATAGAAGCAGGCCCCTAGCCTCTGCCAAGAGCCTCCATATTCGAAGTCCACACTTAGAAACAGGCCCACCAGGAGGTGCTTGATAAAGGTGTAGGTGCACATTGGACTACTACTCAGCTATAAAAAAGAGAAAATCCTGCCATTTGAAACATGAAAGGACCAAGAGGGTATTATCCTTGGGTAAATAAGTCAGATGGAGAAAGACAAACACTATGTTTCACTCATAGATGGGAGAAAAGGAAAATGAACTAAAGAAAACAAAAGTAAGCTGGACTATAAAAAAGAAAGGAGGGAGGACGAAAGAGCTGGAGACCCAGATGGCAGAAGCAGAAGACTGCACGTGCCTAGAGTAATTTACCCCTTTAATCCTCCTCCTTCAGGACTCTTCTTGGGTTGGAGACTGGTGTGTCCAGATGCCAAGAACCATGTGTAAACGTGATCTGTTTGGAGGTGGAAGAAGCACCCTTCTCTGCATTGTCAAGGACACAAGCACTGTGACTGGCAGGTGGGTGAGGAGAGAGGATCAGCCCCCCCCCCCAGTCACCATGACAACCTCCCCTTAGACTAACTTCATTAGGTTCTTGAAGCAGCCCGCCTCCTCCCAGGAGGCCACTGCAATGCCTCGTCCCCCCCAGCAGGGGGTGTCCAGCGTCAGTCCTGTCTTCCTAAACTGAAGAGTTTAGGAGTGCAGTGCAGGCCTCAGCTCCTCTCTGCTCCAGGTCAAACTTGTTTGACTTGTAGTCCCCTTCTCCTGTTCAGCCTGGATGTTGGGGAGCGAACTAGCTCCCTGAGTAAGTCTTGCCAAGCTCTCCCTGGCGGCAGGATGCTGGCAGCCCCTGCTTCTCCGAGGGTAAGTGCACCAGATCCAGGGGCTAGTCCTGCTCGAGTCTGGGTATGTCCACTGTCAGGAAATCCCCATTATCCTCCATTTCTGCATGGCCAGTCAAGTCCCCATGGGCAGATCACAGAACACATCCAGGTTATTGCTCCTCGGAACATGGCTTCCTAGTCTGTTATTTGTTCAATCAGAAATGCCCCAGAGAATCCTCAGTCCTGGTTTTCCACGTCTGGGCTCTGCCTCTCCTCC